CCAGGCTTGGATATAAAGCTTTTACATCAGCTGATCCAATGATAAGGTCTTCTTCAAGCTTCATCTCGTTCACTTCTCTTATTCCTGCCGCCATCTCCTCGGTACTCATACACACACTGGCTTCACCTCTCCACACCTCAGTCGGTATTGAACTTATAAGATAAGATAGGTGCTGGTTGTACGATACCACTGCTCCGCACACAGATCTAACAGGAGGTCCAGCGATGGGGTCCTCATACACTTTATAGTCTTTCCTCAGTGTATACAGTGGCGCTAGGGGGCATCCGCTGACCATCATGTTGCTCTTTATCCTCGATATACAGCAAACTACGATATACGGCAAACTACCTATACTGGATTTAAAGGTATGGATTGAAAAGAAGGACGATGAAGTTGATGGTAACATCGTTAAGTACAACTGTGTTCTACATGAATTCTATTTAAAAGAAGTGTCTTCCAAGTCAATCATTCATGCTAGATCAGCCTTATCATGGCCTACTAAACGTACAATACTAACTCAAGAAGTGTTGCGAGTTTTGAAGAACTGCAGCCCTGGGTTGCCATGGGAACAAACGGTTCGACATCTAAACATGATGAGCATGAGAATGCAGTTTTCTGGCTACAACAAGAAATTCAGGTATGAAGTATTTGATTCTGCGTTAAAGGCATACAAGAACATGAAGTCCAAAGATCAAGCAGGAGAGGTCCCTCTGTATAGACCAAGAGAATGGAGGAGAAAAGAAAGAGAGAACGAAAAACGAAGCAAGAGGAACAACTGGTACAAGAAAGGTGGATATAGCAGTGTAGTTTTCATACCAGCTACTCCTGATTCTGAGTTAAAGAGGAAGTTGGAGGACGATGTAAGAAGTTCAGGCATCAAAGTCAAAATCGTGGAGAAAGCTGGCGTAAGTGTGAAACGGATGTTACAAAGATCGGATCCGTTCAAGGAGAGAGCGTGTAGAAGAGAGGATTGCTTTGTTTGCTGTACAGGGGGTAATGGTCCTTGTAGAGCGACCAGTGCCAC